TAGTGTGTGTATATATATATATATATATATATGCGTATGTGTGTATGTATGTATACATTTTTAAAAATCGTATATGATTTTATTACAGAGGATTGAGTGTGTTATATTATAACGATTTTGAATATAAAGTCGTAGTGGAACGATATGTATCGGAACTACATTTTGACAGTCCTTGGCATTTCGTAGTTAGTGTGGTGCCACTAAAAACTAATCGCTTTGGGGAATGGTATGTAACAATCCTTCCCAGAAAGAGACTAGGAACAAGTTCTACTCCAGCAATGCGAAGCAAAATGCGGCCTTTTATAACAGGTGAGAATCTATGAACGAAAAGTTCAGTGGCAAAAGCCATCTACGTGTCCCAGGAAACAGTAATCAACATAATACAAAAATAATTTACATCTCGAAATAAGTCACGTTAACAAGTTTATTTCGCCACATACCCTATCAACTGTTACATATCCCAAGCAGCTGAATAATGAAAAGGCTATTCATGCTATTCCATACTAAAACATACTGGTAGAGTCGTCGTACATAGCGTCTATAGGTTTCTACGCAATCTGACTGTTTAAACAGGTGCTTGGAAACCTTCATCCACATGCAGTAAGTAGATTATGGAAAGCAGCAGGGAGGAAGGGTGTGTGTTTTTGGACATAACATCTTTACGACGAAGCCTTTTGGAATAAAACTACACTCCAGGGCTATTTTCAAGGTGCGCCAAACGGAGTATAACTGAATGTAATCACTTGGACTGTAATGACGTGATGAATCTAGATAATCGTTTTAATATACAAATACTCAACCTCTGGATAAATGAATGAAATAAAGAATACGCATTTGAACTGGTTACGTATCTATTTCTGAACATATGCAAAGTATTAACATGTATACTTTTTGTATTTCTTTAATTCCAAAGTGGTTTATGGCTCTTGGTTCGATCATGTTCTTTCCTACTGGAAGTTTCACCAGCAACACCCAGAGAAAGTCCTTTTTATATCGTATGAAGAGCTGAAAATGGTAAATATATCACAAAATCGATCTTATACATACAGTAAGAATTTCCAAGTTTCAAAGAAAGATGTGAAAAGTTACACTTTCAAATTAACCATATACACCCTTATAATGTAAAGAAATCGACGTATGCTTTAATTAATAGAGTCATTCATCTTTAATTAACAGTCATTCATCTTTAATTAACAGAGTCATTCATCTTTAATTAATAGAGTCATTCATCTTTAATTAACAGTCATTCATCTTTAATTAAAAGAGTCATTC